ACAGAAGCAGTGGCTGATGTGAATATGATTTGAAAACTGGGAAGTGGATTTAGTCACTAGGCAGGGTAGGGTCCCCTGACACAGAACCAGCCACAATGATGTTGCTGTGTGGTCAGGTCAAAGTTCACAGGCGCGTCAGGGACCAGGAGAGATTTTATCAGGACAGCATGGGGGCGAGTGTGCTTAGGGCCTGACTTTCTTTTACTTTGTCCTGTCCTGAGCTGACGAGGACCCTCTATCTTTTGGGCCACTGTCCCAGTCCTGCTGGACCCATGTGAGGCTGTGGTCACATTCTTTAGGTCTACATGTGCTCAGTAGACAGTCCCCAGGGAAAGCTGCTCATTTCTGCCAGGTGACCCTGATGTGGAAGGTTTGTGTGCTTGGAGGTCGGGGTGAGATGAGGAGAGGAGGCTTCAGGGATGGGTGTGTGTCTCTGGGGCCCAGGATATGTTGCCAAGAGAGGTTTGTGAGCAGCAGGCAAGGGAGTTGACCAAAAGGAGTCATGCATGCCTACCTACTCTCTCAGCACATGTTTGAGTGCCAGCTAGGATAAGCTTCTGTAGCCCAGGTAGGGAAGATGTATCTAGTCACCTAAGAATTAGAATGAAAAAGAAGAACAAACAAATAATAAAAACCTGAAAGCTGAAGTTATTTTTAAAAAATAAAGAGGTAGAGTGAGAGTGATGAGTTCTACCTAGACTTGGGACACACCTACTGCAGGGCTGCCACACTCTGTCCCCTGACCATTCCCACTCCCATCACCTACTTGACCTCAATTGTCCCTTTATTCCTGAGTGTAAGAGTAGAGCTATGCAGAACCTTGGATCCAGGGAGTGGGGAAGGCAGTGAATGAAGCTAAGTGTTATGTATGCGTATGAGCAGCAGCACCCTCCTATCTTGGTGGGCCCTCCAGGTCACTGTCTTATCTCATAACACCACCTCAGTAGCCATATAGGAGATATAATAAATACCCTCATATTTCAGGTGAGAAAGATTCAAACTATTGAAGGATCTATCAGGGCTGCACAGACCATCTGTGGTGGAGCTAGGACTTGAACTCAGAGTTTTTCAAGATTGGGGAAAAGTGGGACGTTGGAGAAAATTTTTCTTTCTTTCTTTCTTTTTTTTGAGACAGAGACTCAAGCTGTTGCCCTGGGTAGAGTACTGTGGCATCACAGCTCACAGCAACCTCCCAACTCTTGGGCTCAAGTAATTCCGCCTCTGCCTCCCAAGGAGCTGGGAGTACAGGTGCCCACCACAACGCCTGGCTATTTTTTGTTGCAGACATTGTTGCTGTTAGGTGGGCTCAGGTTGGATTCAAACCTGCCAGCTCAGGTGTATGTGGCTGGTGCCTTAGCCGCTTGAGCCCCAGGCGCCAAGCTGAGAAAATTCTTCTAAATGTACCATTAGTCTTTAGTCTCAAAAGTAACATATATAAAAATGTCAGTGTTGTAAATTGGAGGATTTAGAAAGTACATTGTTATCCATTGCCCCTACCAATACAGAGATAATCACCATTAACAGTTTGCCACATTTTAAAAGACATTTTCTAATATTTATATTCATTATTATAATAAACATAATAGAATTATATTTTATAATTTCCTTTTAAAAGATGTGTAAAAGTAATACTCATTTGTTATAAAATATTAAAGAATAAAAATTCAAAGCCTCCTAGCCTTATAATCCCAGAAATAACTATTGGTAGCTTAGTGTATGCCACCTATGCTTTTCCTTTGTGTGTGTGCATATGTATGAGGTCTGACAATTAAGTTCATGAATTCGTCCTAGAAAAAGTGCTGTGTACCTCATTGCTGAAAATCACTATACTCACCTTCAAAGTGCTACACTTGGGAAGCTATGTACTGACACTGTTGCCTAGTCCACCCTTCAAAGCAATTCTGGAACTTTTCCTGGAATGACCATCAGAGCCATCCTCATACAAGGTCTGACAATTAAGCTCACAAACTTCCCAACATGCACTTAATGTTGGCAGTGCTATACAAACAACTCAGTGAAGTTTCATAACCTTGGCTTGTTGCCATAGCTCAGTGAGTAGGGGTCCTGCTAAACAAAAATGACAACTGCAATCAAAAAATAGCTGGGCATTGTGGTGGCACCTATAACCTGTAGTCCCAGCTACTTGGGAGGCTGAGGCAAGAGAAGGCTGAAGCCCAAGAGTTTGAGGTTGGCTATGAGCTGTGATGCCACGGCACTCTACCGAAAGCAACATAACGAGACTCTGTCTCAAAAAAAAAAAGTCCCCACCTCTGGATTTGGCTGATTACTTTGTCATGGAGTTGTTTAATACATATATTTATCCTCCTTATTTTCTGTAAATGGGTAATTGATTTTAGAAGCTCAATTGGTGTGGTACTATGTACTTCCAGTTGCCTCGTGTCAGGAGGCTGCTATTAAGATTGATCAGTAAAGGCTCGGCGCCTGTGGCTCAAGCGGCTAAGGCGCCAGCCACATACACCTAAGATGGCGGGTTCAAATCCCCAGCCCGGGCCCGCCAAACAATGATGGCTACAACCAAAAAAAATGGCCAGGCGTTGTGGTGGGCGCCTGTAGTCCCAGCTACTTGGGAGGCTGAGGCAGGAGACTCGCTTGAGCCCAGGAGTTGGAGGTTG